CCGCGCCGCCCCCCCCCGCGGGCCCCGGCCCCCCCCGCCACCGGCTTCCTTGGCAGCCCTCGGTGGCCAAGGGGCACCTCAGCCTCCACGTCCGCAGCCCTTCAGCCGTACAGATGCTTTCCTTTTGGGCCCACAAAAAGGCATGGCTTGGGCTGGGCGCGTGTGATTTATGGCCGTTCGAATGAAAGCCTTCATGCCAGGAGAGAGGATCCATTTTCTCCTCCTCCTGCTCTTGTTCTAATGCACTTGAGTTGTTTGGTAAATCTTCTAATGGTTTTATAATGCACTAAGTGGAGCAAAGTGACACTATTTTTGCGTATTGATTTTATTGCATCTCACCAGTTTCATAAGGCCAAGATTCAGAGGGAGCTGGAATAATTCAATAATTCATACTGCCCAAGTGGTTGGTTCTAGCTGAGCGAGGATGAACTTAGAAGAGGGGGAGTATTTTTCCTCCCTGCGTCTTTTCCTGCGTGGATGCTTTCTGCATCCAGAGGGCCCAAATACGGTGCCAGAGGGTGAGTGATGGAGAGGGGCTGGGTTCCCCGTTGCCTCACTCCTCGGCAACGTGGGCAGCTCAACAGCAGCTCCCTCCGAGCACTGTTCGCCGGCTCCCCATCAGAAATAATGTTCTGGGGCAGGAGGAGGGCTGCTGATGCTTAGGATGAGTCCTGGGCTGGGCCACCCCGCAGGAGGATGCCCCAGGGCCAGGGACCCGGCTCACCCTGCCCCGGGGACCGTGTGGCTGCCATGCAGCTGCATCAAGCTGGGACGGGCAGGCGTGGGGTCCCCCGCGATGCGTCTCCTCCATTTCCTCGCTGTGAGAGCATCTCTTGTAGCATGCAGGGGAGCTCTGTGACCGCGGCAAGCCATCAGCAAAGCTCTTGTGGTCTAAACCTGGGCTGCAACTCAGATGTTTTGCTGGCTTTGCAATGATGGAGAGCGGCTGCTCTCACAACATAAATCTTTCCTTGGTTGTGGCAGTGACAGCACGAGGATGTTGCCTGTGATGGCACTTGGGTGTTGCTTGGAAAGCAGGGAAGGAGGACGAGGGGCAACGAGCACAAACTGAAGCAGAGGAAGTTCCACCTGAACACGAGGAAGAACTTCTTCCCTCTGAGGGTGACGGAGCCCTGGCCCAGGGTGCCCAGGGAGGTTGTGGAGTCTCCTTCTCTGGAGATATTCAAGACCCGCGTGGACAAGGTCCTGTGCAGCCTGCTCTGGGTGACCCTGCTTCGGCAGAGGGGTTGGACTGGATGACCCACAGAGGTCCCTTCCAACCCCTGCCATGCTGGGATTCTGTGACTCTGTGATGAGGCTCGAGAGGGTTGGTGGTGGTGTCTCTCCCCAGGGCAGAAAGCAGGGCACTGCCTGGGAGCCAACCATGTCTGACCTCAGTGCGGGGGCTAAAATATGGATATACAAAATAATGGTCTCTGCAGTTCGGGTGTAGCTCCTTTTTGCCTGAAAACTCATCTCATCCCATGAGTCCTGTGGCAGCAACACCAGGAACTTCAAGATGCACGGGGCAGACTCTGGAGGCCGATGTCCCTGCTGTTCCTTGGCCGCCTGCGTCGTGTGTGGTGGGGACAGCGAGCTTTGGAGACGGCTGTGGCTCTGCGCTGAGCTACTGCGGTCACTGCAGCCTGGGGAGATCCCCGACCGACCGACCTTCACCTGCACCTTGTTTTCTGTCCCGACAGTTGTGCCCATGAACGTCAGCTGCACCCGAACCGACTTCCACATCCAGATCCCCGTGCAGTCCCTGGCCCAGCTGGAGAGGAACAGGATTTACCTGGGGACCCCCTCCTGTGCAGCCCAGGTGGTTGGCAGGAACTTTAAAATACACACCAGGTTCGACACCTGCGGCACCGAGTCCCAGGTAAGTGGTGGGCAAACCTTTCTTTAAAGCGAGCTGAGTGGATGGTTAGCCCTGTGCCGGTTGTCATGGCTGCAGAGAGGAATTCCCAGTCCCTCTCCCGTTTTCCCAGTAGATGCTGGTGGGATTTGTGGCCACCTGCCCTCCAAAGCCCTGTGAAAATGAGCTGCACAAAGCCCCAGCGAGCCACCACCCTTGTCTTGCAGAAACGCAACAACACGTCCGTCATCGTCAGCACCCTCTACATCGACTTCTCAGCGGGGGACCAGGAGGACGTCCACCAGTACGAGGTGCAGTGTGAGCCGAAGAGGAAGGAAGCCTCGGTGACCCTCATCGCCGGCCCCGAGCCCTCCAGGCTCAGCCAGGCAGAAAACCTGGTGGATGCCCAGCAGCGGGAGGGGGGAGCGACGGACGCCCACGAAATCAAGAGCCAGGACACCAGCGACATCGTCTTCATCAGCATCTGCATCCTGGCCGGGCTCCTCATGGTCATCGCGGTGGTGGGGCTGGTGCTTCTGTAGGATGCTGCTCCCTGGATCCCCAGGGCTTGCGATCCCAGCCCTGCCCAGGGTGGAAACACACCCCAAAACCCACCTGCACCCACAGCTGCTCGGACGGAGACGCAGATCCCAGGCCCCAAAACAGAGGCTGAACCCAACCTCCACCTCCTCCCAGCGCCTGAAAAATCTGGGCAATAGTCAGCCGTTTCCCTTCCCAATTTGTTTTCCTTTGTCTCAATCTGTCCGTTTGGCTCGGGAATGCAATTCTCGTGCTTCCTAACTCTTCCGGCACCTGCTTCAGTTTGTTCTCCCTCTGGTGCTGCTGCTTTCAGGAAAGTAACGTTGTTTGCTGATGGCTGCAAATCATCCTGTCAGTCATTTCTAGCTGAGTTCTTCAAGGTACAAACCATCCCCAAATATAGCAATATTCCCAACAAACATTTTCCACGCTCCCACCCGTGCTTGGGGGCTACCGTAGAGCTGTGTTGTAGGTATCTCCGCTTGGCACTTACAGACGTAGCTCATGTAGGTGCTTCTAGGTGGTGTTTCTGGATGTCCGCGGGCGATGTGATGAGGCACATTTGCTGGGTGCCCTGCAGCTCCTCGTTTGATCATTGCTTGTTGTCTAACCCACCCATTGCTCGCAGGACTCACCTGAGCTCTTCAGCCACCAGCAGCTGGAGGGAAGGAGGATGATCTCTCTTCTCCTCCGTGTTTTCCTCCTTTCCAGCACGTCCAGCTGTCCTTCACTGTTATCTCTGTACCAGCATCGCTCCTGGAGTCTGAAACCATGGGCAAATCCTGCCGGGCCTTGGCAGGCTGCGGTGCTGTGGAGCCTGGGGAGACATTGGAGCGTGGAGGTTTGGGAGCCCTGTGAAGACGGCCTCGGCAGGAGGGGCTGGCTCCCCTGGGACCTCAGTGACACCGGACCCCCACCCTTGGTCCCTGCAGAGGGTGAGCTCGGGAGCCAAGAGCATGAAAACAGGAGTCCTGTGGTCACCTGCACCTCCAGAAAACTTGGGTTCCTCCCCAAGAGCCCTGCTGTGACTGACTGCCGGGTGGACAACAGCCCCGACCGCCCTCCTGTGCCATGCGAGCGCGAGGGGAATTCCCTGTCGGCATCACCCGGGGAATGGCCACCGCAGAGCAGCCCGTGTTTGCCTGGGCAGGGGTTAGAGCCAGTGGATGGCAAAGCCAAGGTGAAGTCTCGCTGCGCGAGGTGGGTGAGTGCACCCCTGGGAGCCTGGCGTAGGGGCCACCCACCCCAGCCTGTATAAAACACACTGTGGTGCAGGGGGAGAGCTTAAAATGCCCGAATGTGGTCATTCAAGGGCAAGAAGCCGAACCTGAGGGCAGTGGGTAATCCAGGAGCCCTTTTTTTGGTAGTGCTACCTCCCAAGGGGAATCCATCCTACGGAGGGCACTGGCTGTTCCCGCAACAGCATCGCACCGCTCTGCAAACCCCTCTTGCTGCTGAATCCGCCAGCAGGACTTTTGGCAGGGGCCAGCAGGACAGTCCCGTAGGCGAAAGGCTTTCCCAACCAGTGTCCTGCTTCCCACGCCCGCTGGGACAGGTCTGTACCTGCTGCTAAGCATCAGAGGAAGCAGCAGATTGAATGGATTCGATTGGATATTAGGAAAAATTTCTTTACTGAAAGAGTGGTCAGGCATTGGAACAGGCTGCCCAGGGCAGCAGTGGAGTCCCCATCCCTGGAGGTGTTCAAAAAACGTGTAGATGTAGCACTTCGGGACATGGTTTAGCAGGCGTGGTGGTGTTGGGGTGACGGTTGGACTTGGTGGTCTTAGAGGTCTTTTCCAACCTTTATGATTCTATGAGTCTGAAAGGATGGTGACCAAGCGGCTTCTCCTCCTGGTTTGCACCAGCCCGTGGACACCTAAGAGGGTGTCCGGGGAGGGAAGCAGGCACAGACCTGTGCACGCCTTCTAACGAGGAGCCTTCGTTATCGGAGCCCTGAGTGATTCGGTGTTTGCTGGTGCAACACGGCGGCAAATGCGAGATTTCCAAGTGAAATATTTGCCGGCACTGTTAAGCTCCATTAAGGCAACGTTTTGAGAGCGTGTTGGGTACGTAGATGGGAAACAAGGCCAGACCCCCCTGCTGCCTGCAAAGCCTTGCTGCCAGTTAATTGCCAGGTACAGAACTGTCAGCTTGAGACGATAGTTACAAGATTTGACAACTGAAGACACATAAAGATATCTTTAACCTTCCTGGCAGCCCAGGTTTTGCTGAAGCAGGTGAACGCCGCAGCCCGCTCGTGCCCGGCGGGGGCCGCCGC